CTTGTCTATTGTTACTAAAAGTAATTTAACTTTTCTAAAATAGGTGAATCATTAGATTCATTTAATATTAATGAATTTTAAGAATGTTAGGTAAATTCAAGGAAGCCTTTTAAATATTAGACCAAGCTTTGATGTATGATCTGAATCATATGTCATCTTTAGGCAGCAAAGGTTTATTATAATTCAATTTATATAGGAGCCTGCTTAAAGTATAAATAATTGTTTAAATTCATTACAATAGTTTTTTATAATAAGGCTATCTAAATCAATCCTAATAATGAATGGGCTAAAAATAAGAAAGGTAATATAATTTAGATAAAAAGCTGAATTTGAGAAAAAATTCAACATAAAATAGTAGTAGGCTGAATGATTAGTGGAATATGTATTTTTAAAATTCATAAAAACATTATTATTTTAACAACAATTTTTTGATATTACTTGTAACTTTATTATTATGATATTTAATCAATTCAAAACATACACTTCTTCTTTTTAATCCTCTTATAAGATGAGATTTTTTTCAAAAATGATTACATAATTACAAGCGCCAATAAATCATTCTTAAATTAGTTGATAGAATTATTAACTCTTCTACAGAAGGAAAGTTTTTTCTAATGAAGCGAAACAATGAGTTTCTTTTTCCTATTCTTTTTTATCAACCATTTCTCTAAACATATATATAGATCACAGTCTACTCTTTTGATTCTCACTCAATGTAATTATTACTCGAAAAAAGAAAAAAGGCAATCTAAATCATTTGATTTATTATTCTTTAAATGCCAAGTTATTACATTCGTCATCTTCAGTGAGTGTTCCATAAATATAAGTAATTTTAAATTTAATAACTTAGTCTAAATTAAATTCCATTATTTTCTAAATCAAATTTACAATATTACCATAAATTTTTTAACTTTGAATATTTAAAGATAATTATTATTTTTAGTAAAAGAATACGAATACTTTTTATTGTTATAAAATAACAGAAAATAATTTATGAGGATTTGCAACTTTAGTATAATATTCTCCATTTTTGCTAAGAGTATGAATATAAAAGAAATTGTAATATTTCTTTTTTAACTTAGATTATGCTAAAGTTAAAACTCTTAATGAGCTTAACCTTATCCAATCATTGAGAATCCATAATATTTAGAAGTTTAGAATACATAAGAGAAGTTAATTTTAATGAAATTTTTTTATCTTTTTTAAATTTTGAGTTACCCATGATTCAAATTTACTTATTTTTTTTGTTTAAATCAATTTTGAAAGGCTTAAAGACAGTTCTTATAATTAAACATAAAATAGTTAATAGATTTAAAATAGTTTCAATTAATAATTTCATTTAGTTTATAATAGAACAATAAAATATTTGATAAAATTCAATCTTATATTTCAAATCTTAATTAAAAATTGCAATAATAGCTTAATATATAAAATATAAATTGAAAAAAAAACACAATGTTTAGGATTTTTGTTTATTAAGAATATTGACTAACTAGAAATCTTGATGTATAAGCTCCTAATTTATCTATAATGATGAATAGTTAGTTTTTTGAAGCTATACGAAAACACAAAACGATTTCATTCTTTTAAATATAATGAGATCTAATAGTGTCTGATATTCTCATAACACTTATTTTTATTTTAACAAATGCTACTTTCTTGATACTTAAAATAATACAAATTTAAATTTTTTGAAATCCTACAATAAATTATAAATGTATATTAAAACCTTAAAAAAGTATTCTTTAGAAATATATTTAAGAAAAGATAAGTTAAGGTGTTTATATTTTTTTTAAATTTATCTAAATAATGAAAATTTAACAGCTATTCATCCCATGAATTATTTATAGCCTCTCAAATGAAGTTTCTTATAAAAAGAGGGAAAATCACTGTGATATTGACGAAATCAATCCCAAACTTAGGACAAAAATAAATGAATATAAATCAAAGCTTGATTTATCATTCGAAGTTTACAAAGCCAGTTATCCATAAATATCAGAATTAACTTTTTTATTTATTAATTTATATATTTAACATATAGATATATGAAAAACAGTTAATAAATCTGAAAAGGATGAATCATAATTAATTTTCATAAATCTTTTTATTTAAGTGATGAAATTATTATTATTATTATTATATCATCATAATTTGAAAACCTTAGATTTATACTAATATCAATTAAAGCTTTTGTATTTTTTTATACAATTTTAATGTGATATAGTTATTATCATTTTACATTCGAAATTAGTAATATTTGACAGTCAAACAAACTCTAGCTTCATAATCACCATAAAAAATTCTCATGTGCCTCTTACACCTTTGATAAGATCAGCCATCAAGAAGATAAAAAACTAAATTTGAAAATATTCTTAAAGCTAGATTTTGATAATTCTAATAAAACTCTTGCATTTTACACAGCTCCTCTAAAATTAGATTACCTGTACATTATCAAAAGATTGTTAAGTGATTATAGCCAAATTTACCTGAGAAAAAGACTAAATTGGCTTTTGAAGCAAAATTTTACCAGCTTTGAATTTAACAGCATCGACTATTGTTATATATTACTGTATTTATTGGTAATAAATTTTTTTTCAAAAATATTATTATAGAATAATAATGCTGTTATAAATATTAATTACAAAATTAATCTCAAATATTATTTATTTTTTATATAAGAAAATCTCTGTTAAACATATTATTGGTACTTTTGTCACTTAGTCTTATTATTCAATAAAAATAAATATTTTCTTAATTCTAATTGTAAATTAAACTTAAAAAGAGATTTTTATCTCTATCCTCTTAAATATAAAAATATTTTTCATATTTATTCCTCATCAATTAAAATCCTTTTCTTTAAGTATTATAAAATCATCTTAATTAAATACTTCTTTAAAATTCTTCATTAAGGTTTATTATGTCTTTCTAATCTTGGTGATTGTGATATTTTATAAAAATTTTAGTAAAATCTAGTAAATTTATATTAATAGAATTACAAATAAATAAATCACAATAAGTCGATCAAAAAAACATTCATAAATTCTTTTTGATGTAATTCCGACTTAATCCATAAAATTTTCAACTGGAATAACCTTTTTATTCTCAAATTATGGATTAATCTGCTAAGGCAGAAGAAATTTTTAATTATTTGGCTTAATGTTTTGGGAATAATGATTTGTAAATATATTATTAGTAGCCTGATTTAAAATAAGGACTTATTAACCCTAACGATGATTTAAAACCATTTTATGATACAAAAGCATAACTCTTTTTAATTTAACCTTAACAAGATTAGCTCAGACCTCAAGATGTACATTAAGTAGCAGATCAGACTAAACCTTAAAATATGTTTATATCAGTTTATTAAGCTGAAGGTGATTAAAATAAATTAATTGTGTAGGAAAATGTAGATCCCAATTTATCCTTAGGCTAGGTAATTATCAAAATTTAATAAAGTATTTAATCTAAATTATACAAAAATACAATATACCAGCCAATTCATTGCAATTATTTGATCATGAATCAAAATATTTAACTGATTATCAAAATTTAAAAATAGAGAATTTTAAAAATTATCCCTTTTTATCTATGATTCTTTTTAATAGTTAAATTGCTTCATAGTAAGGTATACTTATATACGTTTTTAAACTTGAAGGTGATTAAAATAAATTAATTGTGTAGGAAAATGTAGATCCCAATTTATCCTTAGGCTAGGTAATTATCAAAATTTATTAAAGTATTTAATCTAAATTATACAAAAATACAATATACCAGCCAATTCATTGCAATTATTTGATCATGAATCAAAACTATTAACTGATAATCAAAATTTAAAAATAGAGAACTTTAAAAATTATCCCTTTTTATCTATGATTCTTCTTAATAGTTAAATTGCTTCATAGTAAGGTATACTTATATACGTTTTTAAACTTGAAGGTGATTAAAATAAATTAATTGTCTAGGAAAATGTAGATCCCAATTTATCCTTAGGCTAGGTAATTATCAAAATTTATTAAAGTATTTAATCTAAATTATACAAAAATACAATATACCAGCCAATTCATTGCAATTATTTGATCATGAATCAAAACTATTAACTGATAATCAAAATTTAAAAATAGAGAACTTTAAGAATTATCCCTTTTTATCTATGATTCTTTTTAATAATTAGTAACTTTAACCAATTTAAAATAATAATCTAGTATATGATTAGAATCATTAATAATAATTATCATAATAACATTAAACACCAGAATAATAATAAATACCTATAAACTATGGATTATAAATTATTGATTAATAATTACTAAATAATAATAACTTTTCTAATTAACAATAATTACAAAATAATAGTAATCCTAATTATAATAATAAAAAGCCATCATAAGATTCTCATGGATAAGTTGATGTAAATGTTGCAGATTAATTTGGAAAATTTACATTAGAGCCACAATAAAAATAATACTCATAAGGAATTCCAATTGATGAACAGTAAATATTTAAATAAACTTTAGAATATCATAAACTAAGAATTCTATTGTGATTCTAAAATAAATTTCGCTTTACTTTGATCCTTCTGGAGAGTATATAACATACAAATACCATTACCCAATATAATTGAATGGTAGTATAAGAAAATCTTAAAGTACATCAACAAATAAATCCACCAATTCTCAATATAAATGGATCAGTGTTCATTAAAATAAATATGAATATGTTCAACTTGATGAATATAGCTTTCGTATTAAATGGGAAGGAGGTAATGAAAGTGAATTAAAAGTGAAATTATAATGAAAATTATTATTCGGAACATAATAAATTATTAATTATTTTAAAGAATTATATTTAATACTTATTAAGATTATTGGTATCTAATAGTATAAAATATTAAAAAAACATTTATAATTTAATTATAAGATTTTGAAGAGTAAGATACTAGATGTGGACTATTAATTAATAATTGAAAAGAAGTAAAATCTAATTGATTCTATATGTTCGATTTGGAGATCATGTAAGTTAAATGCAGACATTCTATTTGAAACCTTGAAAATACCAAGTTTGGTAAGAACAGTTTAATTTATTGATTTAATTAATGATTTCAACTAAATCATAATATCAGCAATAGTTCAACAGGGATACTTTCTGCCTTTCTTCTTCTGGATTGATAAAATTTCAACAATTTTTTTTATTATTTAACATAATTCCTTTAAATTAGGATTGAATGGAGCATGAACTTTGCTAAAAAATACAGCAGAACTGGTCAGAGCAGAAAGACTCTGAAGAGTAGGAACTAATGCGTTGTTATAAAAGACTGATAAGTTCGGTTAAAGTTTATGAATCTGTTAATAAGGATGATGAAAATTAAGTTCAGAAATTAATATCACAAAGAAGATTGAAAAGAAAAGCTATTACAATAAAAAATTTATATAAGATTAGACCTGAATTAAATAATCTTGGACAGTTGAACATTATTTTATAGTATTCTTATTTTTAAATAAATTAATATAGTTATCGCTTACATTAAATTACAGAAGATTAAATATAATTTTTAGATTATTTAATTACTGATTATCTAATCAAGTATTCATAAAAGTTCAAACATACTTAAATTTAAAAGGATATTATAGAGCACCAGAAATTATGGTTTCTTCTCAATAATACTGAATCCAATTGATATGGTCTTTAGGTTGCCCTTTCGCTGAAATGTTAGTTGAAGGAAAGGTAAATTATCTATGTAAATACTATCAGGTTCTCTTTAAAGGTATACTTATTAATCAATGACTAAGGGATCTTTTTAATACCTGATAAACCAATTTAAGAAGATATGGTATTAATTAAGAATAAAAATACAATGGTTTATGATACTTCTTAAGCAGTGATTCTTTTATGAGGGTTAATCACAAGCATTTTATCAAATAAATCAATAGCTAAAGGATTTGAATAATCAATTTATTTCTTAATTGATTATGGTGAATACTTGGTAAAGATCTTATTTTAAAGAAATTAGGGAAAAAGCTATTTGAAAAATGATGAAAAATTAGCTTGAACATATGAAAATAATGATTCTTGAAGAATTCAAAAATTAGGTGAAAAAAAATTCATATTCATGATGAAATTGATATTGTTTTAAAAATATTGTTTCTAATAATCTCCACATCCAAATTACGAAATCTTTATTATGCTATTTGGAGTTCAAAGTTAACAAGCTTAAATATTTTAGAAAATTTATCTAAATTTCAAAAATCATTTTCATATGAATTTTATTCAATTTTACAATCCTAATAAAATACATTAATTGTTTAATTTAATAATTTCTTATCCTCATGCATTTTATCACATGCAACCTATCAATAGATTCCTAAAGATGGCTTATTATTAAAATTTTTGGATATAATTTTTATATTGAGTACAGCTAAACTAAAAATAAGATCTTTTGACTTAATATGTCGATAGTTCAATTTGATAATAATTTTAGATTTAATCTATCTATTATATTATTATTAGTAAAGTTTTAAGAAGAAATGCTTCTTTTTTCGCTTACCAACCTGAATAATATGAAGTATTTTTTTATTTTCTCATTTCATTTATCCATTTAAACTTGTAAAATCTTCTTTAATTCTTTGTTAATTCCCATATTATTTACTAGTATAATCAAAATAATAGAAATCTCACTCCCGAAAAGACATAAGAACCTTTATATCTGTTATCTAATCCGAACAGATTGAGTATGCCATAACAGAAGTACTACGCTAAGAGAAAGCAATTTAATTTTATTTTTTAGAGGAAAGACATAAAAATTGGGATGATGAAAGAAAAGAAGAATTAATAGCAAATCAAATAAGAAGAGCTTTTACAAAATAAAGAAATAATGAAAAAAGAATAATAAATATGATTGAAAATATCTGCCAAGAAAAAAGGAATGAGTATCAGAATAAACTATTAATGGTATAAATACACTAAGTTAAGATATCCATTCAATGTAGATTTACTATTTAATTTCCGAAGGACGCAAAAGGATGGGATGACTTTTTTAAAAGATGTAATTAAAAAGATTTAAAACCTAATCAGAATATATCAGAAATATAATAAATTCAAAAACAAAAAATTAATCTCCCATAAATATTATAAGATATAATAAAAGGAAGAATAATAATACATATGGACGAAGATATGAAATTTCCAGCCTAAGAACCCATCATACTGGATACAGGAGAAGGGCTTACACATCATATATTAGTAGAACTTAGAGAAGGAAAGTTAATACCCTACAAGATAATATGCTAAAAAAAGCAGATGTATACAATGTTGGGAGATTACTATAACCTACCCCATAAGAAAGAGTAAATTTTGTATCATTAAGATAAAATTATAAAAAATATTTCAAATCAATTTAAGAGTTGGAAAAAGAAAATAATCTACATAAAATATAAAATAGGAAGGCAAAGAAAGGATTAACCAAATGTTAAAGGAAAATTAATAATAGGGTTTAATGATTGAAAATGTAGAAGAAAATTCTCTAATAGAAATAGAAAATCTAAAGAAGGAAAATAAGAAATTAACAAAAAATAAGATGAAAAATAATAGATTGATTAAATAAATTCAAGATCAAATAGTGCATGGAAGGAAATTATATAATATATTGAAGATAACCAAAACCAAAATTAGAATATAAATAAAGAAGTGTAATTATAAAATATAAGAATAATAATTGAATAATGAATTAAATGTATAATAACAAATGAAATATCAATAAAAATTGAAAATTACACTAAGAGATAAATCAGAATAAAATAAAGAAAAACAAAGATCTGAAGAAAGAGAAACCAATAAAGATAATAAATAAAATATAACATAAGAAAAAAAATAAAAAAATTGGAAGATTTCACGGGCAAACGATATAATTGTTGAAGCATCAAGAGGTGAATAAAATGATGAAGAAATCCTAGGAGTCACAAGAAAAGGTTTTGCAGAGCATTAATCTGGATTAAAGAATTTATTATAATATGGCATTCTATATTATGAATAAACCTAAGCAACATACCAATAGTTTAGGGACACATTAATGAATACTTATAAATTTGAAGAATTTGTATATAAAAGAGCTAGTTATCGATGATAAATGATAAATGTTACCTCTTTTCATATGGGTAGATTTTACAAAATATATGCTTTCAATGACTAGAACAGATTCATGGTATTTCGTAACCGATCATTATGCATCAACTTGGTACGGAAGGAGAATAAAATAAAATAAGATTACTAATATGAATGAAATATAAATTAGATTTAAATCATTGGATTTAAGGGAAAATCAAATAAATGGACATCAAGGAAAGAAAAATATTGGTAGGATAATTAAGAAAAATATAAAGAAAATTTTAGACTCTTTACCTATCAATAATTGGGAAATCGAATTAAAGAAATCATAAAAAATAATGAGGGAAAAACTTTTATGGAAAAATAAATATTATTCTTAGAATCAAATATAACAATGTAATATATCAAAGATCGAGAAGAAATATACGGCAAATTTTTTTTGGTAATTAAAACATTAATAACATTTATAAAATCAAGTTTTAGAATTTTAAGTCTATTAGTAATAGAGTAGAAAAGATTGTCTGAAATAGGTTTTAATAAGAATTTAATTGCATACCAGGAGAAAGACCATATAATATCATTAAATGGGCTCAATCAATGCTTATCCTCCAGATGGATAAATCACATACATTTATATCTCGTATAAAAAAAGAGAGAATAAATTTTTTTAAATTATATTGATATTTAAAGTGACTAATTAGAATATATTATATTTTAAGGAACTTTATAAAAATCGAAAGAATTAATGAAGCAAATTTTGAAAATATGAATGATTCTATATTCTATGAGAACAAAACAATGCAAAATGTATTCAAATGCAAATTTACCTATTTTACTTCAATTACTATAAAACTCAAAAGGTCCCAGTGTTTTTTTTCTTACCATTAAAACAAAAGAGACTTTTTTGGATATATAATTTAAAATCATAGTAATAGAAATTTAATATTAAAATTATTTAATGTAACTCAACCACTTATATGAATTATCTAAATAGAGAATGGCTTTTAAATCCATGCTCTCTGAAACCAAAACTATGCTGAAGAAAATTTGGGATAATTTATCAGAATCAATCAATTAAATATATGATTGGATTGAAGAGTAAAATGTTGAAGAGAATACATATTTGATAGAGATGCATAATACAAAAAATTGGTTGGATAAAGTAATTAAAGCTTTTATCAAAAAGTCAGATGAAGGAATAAAAAAGATTAAGTCATTAATTAAGTAAGAAGTTGAATTCTTATTTTAGGATTCAATCTAATTAAAAAGAAAGTGAGTTTAAATGGAATAATTTGAAAATTCATGAATTAATTAAACTGGAAGGTCACGGCGATGAAGTCTTAACGGTATGCTTCTCTCCTGATAGTACTACATTGGCCTCAGGAAGTATGGATAACTCTATTCGTTTATGGAATGTTAAGACTGGATAATAAAAAGCCATATTAGAAGGTCATTCTAATTTAGTTTACTCAGTATGTTTCTCTCCTGATGGAAGTGCATTAGCATCAGGTAGTGTAGATCACACTATCCGCTTATGGGATGTTAAAACAGGATAATAAAAAGCCAAATTTGATAGTTATCACGAGGATATCTGGTCAGTATGCTTTTCTCCTGATGGTACTACATTAGCATCTTCTGGTTGTGAAGATAAGTCCTTCCGTTTATGGGATGTTTAAACAGGATAATAAAAAGCCAAATTCGATGGCCATAATAATTGGGTTTTGTCGGTGTGCTTCTCTCCTGATGGTAATATATTGGCATCTGGCAGTGCAGATAACTCTATCATTTTATGGGATGTCAAAACAGGTTAATAAAAGGTCTAATTTTATGGTCATACATCTAAAGTTTCCTCAGTATGCTTCTCTCCTGATTGTACGACATTAGCATCTGGTAGTTGGGATAATTCTATCCTTTTATGGGATCTTAAGAAAGAAGACTAAAAATTTAAATTGAATGGTCATACTTTGGAAGTCTACTCAGTATAATTCTCTCCTGATGGTACTCTATTAGCATCTGGTAGTGTAGATCATTCAATACGTTTATGGGATGTTAAGACAGGGTAATAAATAATCAGATTGGATGGTCATACTCATTTTGTCTACTCACTCTGCTTCTCTCCTGATGGTACTACATTGGCATCTGGGAGTAGAGACAACACTATTAGATTATGGGGTATTAAGTTGGAAAAATGAGGTTATTATTCAAATATAAAGGCATTATTAAGTTAATTTTATAGTTAATATTAAATTGAAATGTTATATTCTTAATACAAATTCCTTTTAAGGATAAATTATTATGAAACTATATATCATTATACACCTAAATCTATTAAGATGATCTTCATTTCCTTTTTCTAGAATTCCAAATTATGAGAAGTATTTTTTCTGAAGCTTATATTGTATTGATCTTCTTGCAACTTAATTAAAGTCTATAATTTAGTAAGAATTATGTAATAATTGAAAATAAATAAATTAAATTGGGATTCTATATTTGAGATTAATAAGAGTAGAAATTTTTTTTTTTCTTAATATTTTGCTTGACTCTAATTAACTTATTTGCAATTTTAATCAATTAAAGAGGTTTTGCTTATTAATTAGTTAAATTATTCTCAAAATTAAGAATTTAAGAAAGAAATAATGGAAATCCTGGGAAATGAAGAGTTTAGGCTAAAATTTAGGTTTAGAGCTGCTTGAATTGGGGTAAAGTTTTTGTATAAGTTTACTGTGTAGAGATCCCTACGATCTGAAATAAATTTTTTTTAGAGCATCACTTAAATCTAATCTATGAGGTATTATTAAAACTGATAAAGAGGAAAAACTAGATATTAAGGATAATCCATAAACAGATTTATAACGTTCACCTCAACGTGCTTGATATTGGAAAAGTTTGAGTGTTTGGTATAAAGTTCAACACCCTCACATTAATTTGGTATGGTTAAACAAAATTCGAAATTATTTCATTTTTACAAAAATTTTTCTATTTGACATTAAAATTAATTTTGAAGAAGCGAAAATTTATTTTTTTTAATCAAGACCTCTGAAAGAATATTTAATCTTTCTTCTTTTCTTAATTTTCATGGTGGATTATAAATAATTGTGATAAAGTTAAGTTTGAGTTTTATATTTTCTTTCATAATATTAATAATAAATCATTTACATCAAACTTTTATTATTATTCATATTTTTAAATTAATTGGTTGTTTTAACTAATTATAAAATGTTAAAAATTTCTAAAAGATTTGTATTTATTCTTAAATATAATAGATTTGTAATTGATTAATCAAGAAGTTATTGATTGTTCCTAAATAAGTAACTTCAAATTGAACCATTTGATAGTTGATAATTAGTTTTCATAAATATTCGTGAATCTAAACTTTTGAATGTGGATAAATTCAAAAGAGATGAAAAGTTTAATAGTTAGTCATTTCCATCATAATCTCAAATTTTAAGTATTCACAACATTTTAAATTAATCAATTAAGATAGTCAATTATCATTCAAGAATTATAAAAATTTACTCTGTTTTAATCATATTATTTTATAAATAATCTTTTTTTATTTTTTTTTAGGAATTTAAATATTTTGGCGATCGATTTTTTACTTACAGATAGAATTATTAAAAAGCAATGAGACAGTAGGAAAAAAAGAGAATTCAAGTAAAGAGTTCATATTTAAATTAGTTTATTCAAATTTTTATGGAGGTGTATCATATGTTGATAATAGATAGAGACGAAAAGTTGGATGGACTTCATTGATAATTTTTTCAGTAATCCTATGATTAAAGATTTAAAGAATTGAATGAATATATATTTATTATTACCCAAAGTAATTCTTAAAGATTTAGATAACAGAATGATAAATAAAATTAAGATAAATAAATAAATTCTTTTAGAGATTAAACTTGGGTAAAAATCTGATAATTTAATGCTTAGAATCAATCAGGAAAAAAGTTTTAAAATATAGATGAATTTTTAGTTTCATCAATAAGCTTCGAAACTGGATCAAGTTTTATATTTTGGTATTAAAAAGATTAACTAAGGATTATGGAAAGAAAATATAAAAATGCTTATGTATTGTATTTCTCTTTCTACATATCAAATAACTTAATTGGTAGTAACAATGTAGTCTTAGCCACTTTTTAGATGTCTGAATATTGCTATGGTTTTTTTAAATTTCATAATTAATCCATCTTTAATATTATAATAAATCAAATGATTGCATTGCTCAAAATAAGACTTATACACAAAATTAATTATCAAAGTTATGAAATATAATTACAGTGTAATTTCAATTAAATATTATCAATTTATATTATTAATTTTTTCTATTGTCTAGTTTAAAATATTTTTATTATTATCTATTTTTTTAACTAATTTTTTCAAACTTTTTAACTTAAACGAATCTCAAGAATATTCTATATAATTTATAATTGTTCAGATATTCAGAATAAGAACATACAAAGTTATATATGTAAATCAATTTTTTACTAATCCTCTCATTTAATTTGTAAGGAATATAATTAAAATTGAAGTTGAAAGTTGTAAACAAAAAAGGTTTCTTAAAAAACAAAAACTTTTAGGAAGACAGTGTAAGCTGTAGATATGTATATAGCCAACAAAATATAAAGAAGGCAATTAAGATTAATAATTTTAAGTTAAAAAATAATCCAATCTCTCATTTCATGCTAAAAAAAATATTGTTTTAAAAATCATAGAAAACTATTATTTTGACATTTGAGGATTTTGTTATTACATAATTTAAGATAGAAGATAAGATTATGGAATAATTTTTATTTTATTTAATTTTTGAATCCCTTTGAAAAAATAGTTTTATTTTAATCTTAATGTGATTGATCAACAAAATTATATTATATTTTTTGTACTATATAAAAATAAATTTGTTAATTACATAATTGAGTAAATAAGAAAAATCATATGGGGTTAGATAGAGAGACAAGATTCGTTTAAAGATGAATCCTAAATGAGATTTAATTGAAGCGATCAAATTGCCCAGCAATTTAAAAAAAACGGAAAGAAGGAAAATTTTCCATAAAAGATGAAGATATCAATTTAATTTATTTCAAATAGAACCTAATGTAAATTCTAAGTTTTTATTTATTATAATTCTACTCCCTTAGATCAAAACTGAAAAAATTAAATATGATATCAATAATTAAGAACGCATTTAACTCATATAAAACACTCTTAGTCGTTTAAGAACAATTTGACTTTTGAATTGTTTATTATTAGCTATAAATTTAGTTAAATTAATATCAATTATTTTATCTTTGGAAAAGAATTATCTTTTATCTAAAAATATATTTAAGATAATTGTAGTTATTTTCTTAATAGTAATAAAATGTAAGCATAATTATTGTAAAATAAGGAATCATATATCTGTATTATGTTTCTTAATGGAAATAATTAGATATGTATTGTTAAAGAAAATTAATAATATCTCTTTTTTTAGAATAACAAAATAATTTTATTTTTTTCTTAAAAAATTCAAAAGTAGAATCAATATTTTATTAAGAAAATCCTTTTTTAATGGATATCATATAATGGATTATATTCTTAAGGAATTTTATTATGAATTTTATTATGAATTTTTTCTTAAGTAAAATAATTAAATCAATTTTTTTTCTACACAAAACATTCGTAAATATTAATCATATTTATTTAATTTCTTAATGAAAATCATAAAATATATTATTTTTTTTTTTAAAATAAAAACTAAAAAATGTATTTTATTTTAATCAAAATAATTTAATGTATTATGCTTCTTTAAAATCTTTAGTAGTAAAAGTAAAATCATAATTATTAATTTATGAAGAAAACTCTTTGATAAAACTAGATTTGGAAGATTTGAAGATTTAGGTTATAATTCATCTTTTTAAAAGATTTTATTTTTAATGTAATTTTTATCAAAGTTAAAAAGGAACATTTACTCAAGGTAATTGATTTTTGTTTAATGAAAAAACAGATGGAAAAGTACCTATGCTATTGTATATTGAATGGATTATTATTAAAATAAGGAAGAAACAAAAATTATTTATTCATAGCAAATAATGCTTTGATTGAGAGTTAATTATTCTTACATATTTTCATTTTTGTGTATCGATTCTATTGGCGATTTTGATATTTATTAAGTTATTAAGTTTCATAAATCCTTTCTAATTTTATTATATATAATATTAATACTTAATTCTTGCTAGATTGAAACTAAATTATACAAATATACTATACAGATACCGATTGATTTGCTTAGTTATTAGTATTGTATTTCATTTTAATGATTCCCTCCTTATTATATTTGAAGATACTATTGTAAAAATAAGAACAATTAAATAATTATAGAGTTAAATAATCTGAAGGAATAGTTAATGGTATTTATTATTATACAATCTAAACATCCAATAAATGAATATAGTAACTATAACTAAATCAAACTAAAGTTGCTTAAACTAGTTTTTATTGTCTTATCTTAATATCATCTAAACAATACTTGATATTTTTTCTTATTATTAATTCTCTAAATTCATTCATTTATTTTGATTTATCCCTTTTCATTTATTTAATTTTCATCATTAAAAAACTCAAGCCCAAAATTTATTTTTATTCCCTAAAAAAATTAAAGCAGGTTAAATAAGTTAAATAAAATTAATTAAGAGTAAAAAACAGTTAAAGAAATAAAAGGAGGCACGTATTTAAATACAAATATTTCAATAATTAACTTAACAAAAATAATTACTTAACAAAATTAAAAGAGCAATCCGAAACAGAAGGAATTAAAGTATTTTTTGGTCAACATACAATATATCGTTATTTAAAAAGCGAATAACATCAAATTTATCTGAATTATTGAAGCTTGGATTGAATATTTTTAAATCCTTTAAGAAATGCATGTTCCAGAAATTCTATAATAATTATCGACACTAACTCTATTTAGAGAAAATTTATGGAAGAAATGGATTCAGGATAAGCAAAAGATAGTTAAAATGTGAGAAAACACAAAAAAACAATAAGTTAGAATATTAATATTAAAATTTTTGAAAAAGAGGTTTTATAAAAATTTTGCAAAAAAACTAGATACTGATTTAAAATTAGAATAATAAAATAAAAAGATTGAATATTAAAAGAAAAAATTTTGTAGTAAAATGTAAAAATGGAGCAAAATTAGATAGTTATAATATTTGAAAACTTAAAATAAACTAAAAA